ATAGCAGTCTAAACATTTTTATAAGCTTCAGGTATAGAGTTTAGGAGAATTACAACTTTGTATTCTTCAAATACTTTATCCCTAGCATTAGTTATATCTTATATCAGTTTATTAAAAGTGTCAAGATTATCATCTAAGTCTCGGGACATGTCAATTTTAAAGCTAAAGAATCTTTCCAAAAGAAAAATCTTATTAGGCAATGACTTAGCCAAATAAAGTTCTTCTAATTTATCCCATAAGGCTTTATTATCTAACTTTCCTACCATTCTTAACTCTTGATCAGATAAATGCAGAATAATGAAAGTATAGGCAAGTTCATCAAATTCAAGTTTTTGTTCATCAGACATAATATCAGGATATTCATCAGTTATAGCTTTAGATACTTTCTATTGAACCAAACCTCCCCCTCATTTTTTGCTTCCAAATGGGAAAATCCCCTTTTTCATTAAAAACTCGAAGTTCAAACGTTGCCATTGTCATTTGAAGTTTTTAACCAACACAAGAAAGTTCAGCCAGAAGTTCCAAGAATATCTCACAGAATATATGGCAACACAAAGTATCACACACTATATGAAATCTCAAAAGAATATAACACAGTGAATAGTAAAAAAATTAGTAACCAATCAAAGATTAATAATAAACCACTTTAGAATGCAGAGATGTGTCCTTAGTTCACCAGGATTCCGTGAGGCTCAAAGGCCTCAGGTCAAGGCTTGACCCAAGTCCGTAGTAGTGCAGTGCAAAGTGTAAACTATTAAAGACACATTCAGTAGACAGTCACCAAGAGTTTACAATAGGCAGACAACTGGAATCAGAAATTAATCACAAAGATTAATCAATGGGCATAATACACGGATCATGAATTAATCACCAAGATCAGTAACATGTAGTATACCTGAAAAATGGGTAACGTATATACCAGATTAACCTAATTCAAGAACACACAACTAATATAAAATATATACAAGAGGGTTAAAGATATCGATCGGCAGATCGCAAAATCACAAGTGGACCCAAATACTCAAGACCGGTTCATCAAGAAAAGTTTGAGAAAAAGATTAGTTTATCTCTGCAGAAAACACCAACAACTCGTTAGTTATCAAGAAACTGAAATATAAACCATAAACGAAACCAAAACCCGTAGCGAATCATATCTAGGGGTTCAACCAATTGTTGGATCTATCAAGATCCGACTATGAAAATTAATTTTCCATGACCAGATGTCGGAGATGGGGACTCGACCGGCCTCTTAAGGTTTTGATACCACTGTTACAAGAATGACTCAAGTTCAACTCAAAATGCAGAACCAAGACTTAACACAAAAGCATCACGTTCTCATCGATTGGGCTCATATTACACTTTGCACCCGTCTGTACAAAGGTTTAATCTCATAAAGACCAGCCCTAAACTAAGGAATACAGAGGTAGTCACTTCAACAGTCCCAAAATCTCCCAACCCAATAGAAAACCCTTTCCATTTCAAAATCGAAAGATCACCAGGATTCCTCACTCACAAATCTGCCAGAAAATCATAAGTTTAATAGCCAAAGAACAAGTTTCACGAAGAAAATGAAAGGGAAGACACACAGCCACTCGAAGGAGAGAAATCCAAAAGCTTTTCAAAGAAGCACACAAAGAGGCGAGAGGAATAAGAGAATAATTAGGGCAAAAGTCTGAAACCAAAGAATATATAGGCAAGGTCATCACAGTAGATCATAGGGTTAGGAAATCTAATGGACCAGAGCAACACACGTGTATTACCAGAGTTTTGGATCAGGTTATAAGGAGTCCAACTTAATGTGTTATTGGGCAAGGGCCTGTAGTATCTGAATTTCCAACCATTTATCATCATAACCCAAAGTGGGCTGGACTGCGAATTAGTTATGGCATCACAGTCCAAAAACCCACCCAAGCCCTAAATTATTTTCCACGTCCTTCTTTCTATAATTTTCTCTCGCTCTCTTTCTTCTCCAGCAGGCGTAACATCAGAGAAGTAGCTGTACCTCACCCCCCTTTGATTAAAAATATGTGAACTCCTTCTCTCATTTCTCTCTTTTTTATTTCTTTCACCAGAGAATCAACATCGTTGACCACTGCGAGAAATCAACCATCACAACAACGCGTAGGACCAACACATGCAGTATAGCTGCACTGAGGGCCACCATGCATAGGTAAGCGCTGCACACAAGACCATCGATCTAATTCGATTTGAGGATGGTTAGCCAGCATTTGGTGTTTGTATTTTTTGGTGGTTGTTGGTGGAAAATAAAATAATTGTTTCTCTTTCTATCCTGTGGTATATGTTGGTTGTTGAAGTGGTAATGGTATGTATGGTTTCCATGTTTTAGGGGTTTGGCAATGGTTTTGGGGATCAGCTTAGCTGAAGTTGTGGGGTAGTTTTTGGTAGTGGTGGTGATATAGGATTTGGCAATGACGATGGTTATGGATTTGGTAGTGACGATGGTGTTTGTGGCAATGGTTGTGGTGGTGGTGGATGAGATGTCGGTGACATGTGGTGGTATATTTATGCGATGTGTTGACTTGTTTGAGCTGTTGGTGGTTCTCACAGCAATGGTGGTGGTGGTGGTACTGCTGGAGGCATTGGTGAGGTCGTGATTGCAAGTGTTGGTGGTGGTCACGGTTAATCGTAACTATTAAATTGGTTAATTTGTGACCAATGAAAAGATAATTTGTGACTAAAAAAATAACATGTGACCTCAAAATTTGTTATTTTGCGATCGATAGTTTGATAATTTGTGACTGTATAATAAGTTGCGATTTATAATATTTGTAATTTGTGATTGATAAATAAATTGTGAATTATAAATTTTTTATTTATGATCGATAAATAAATTGTGACCTATAAAATTTTTTAATTGTGATCATAAAATAATTTGTGACATATAAAATTTCTAATTTGTGACCCAAAAATAATATGTGACCAACTAAATCGTTAATTTGTGATTAAATTTTGTGACCTTAATATATCTAACTAATGAAATATATAATTAATTAATTAAATCATAAATAAATTTTAATAAATATCTGATTTTTGAAATTTGACATATGTGCTCTTAGTTTTGAAATGGATGATATTTAACTTCTTAATTATGAATTTTTCCCATCATGATATGATAAAATATATTATTAAAAGAGCAAATTAGGCCAAATACCCCCCAAATATAACAAATTAGAATAATGCCCTTAAAAACAATTAAAATCTTTACATCGTAATCAATACGCTCAAAATCCACAAACCTTAGAAAGTAGTGAAGAAGCTGAAAATAAGTATTAAATCACGCATGAAACCCCGAGATTTCGACTCGACGAGTTAAGAGAATCAAGAAACTAGTCAAGGACATCAACAAGGTCAACTCAGAAGCCCTATTTATTATCACAAATGCCATGGAGCTTTTTCGTCAATCTCTTGCAGAGAAATCAGTTGATGTTACGTTGGAGAAAAAGAGGAAAACCATAAAGCCTGAGCATTTGTGAGTCGGGATGAAAAGGCACTAGCCAACAAGCGTTTTCTTCCTTATTCTCTCCCGACACTTGAATCAATTAAACTGATGTATATAATGTGTTTGACGAAAGGAGAATGTGACATTTTGTCACTTTTCTAAAAAAAGTTACACGTTTTATTTGAGTAATTAATTAGATGCATACGTGTGCATTTTTAAAAGTTTAAACATACAAATTCAAGCCTTGTTTTATGTTAATACATAAAAGATAGTTTTGAATCAATTATGTATTGTGTTTGTTCAAGGAAAATGTGAAAAAGTAACAGTGTCAATTTTTTAAAAAAAGTCACATTATCCCATTGGAGCAATTAATTATATGCATATGTGTGCAATTTTTTTTTTTGGAAAATTGAATATGTAAATTCAAGCATTGTTTTATATTAATACATATGAAAATGAAAATTTTGAATCAATTAAATTGATACATGCAAGATGTTTATTCAATGAGATGTGGAAAAGTGTCACTTTTTTATTTTGTCGCTTTTTTTGAATCTGTGTAACTTATTTTAATTTGTGTCACTTTTTTAAATTCGTCACTTTTTAAAAATTTAGTCACTTTTCTAAATTTTTGTCACTTTTTTTTAGTGTTTATCACTTTTTCCACTTTTCTTCTTGAAATTTCTACCACTTTTTTTTTTTTTTTTGGACAAACATTAGTTATTAATAAAAGTGAAATTGTATATCATTTTTTAATATAAAAGTGACACAAAAATTTTAAAGTGACATTGTGTCACTTTTTTTAAAAGAGTGACACTTTTGATTTAAAAAAAAGAAGACATTGTGTCACTTTTGAATTTTAGGCAGTATTTTTTATTTCTAAAAAAAATTTTCATATAATTTTTCAAAAGATCCCTAAGTTTAAGGGCATTTTTGTAAGTTGTCCTTATTAAAATGACCGAAGAATCCAACGGGCCAGGGCTCAGACAGCACATTGCACTGCTGGACCACCGCGAGCCCAAAATTTCACAAATTGGGTAACTTTGGCCCATTTTAAAACCACAACGAGGAGCCTACCAATCTCGTTCGAAACGGCAAGTGAGCTGCACATTATGCACGATTTTTGTTGAGCATTCCCTCCTCCATTCACCACTAATTTTGAATAAATTTAATCAATGCTCACTGAACTTTAAATTTGGTTACTACTTGCTTACTCATCTTTCACGCATTATTGAATACTCACTCATCTTTCTATATAGTTACTCATCCACCACTCGTCTCTTCAAATAATTGGATGACTTTTGCGACAACTTTCGACCACCAAAAATGTCGAATTTTGATACCGTTAGAAAGCCCACGATGTTTTATTCAATTACCATCCAAAATCTCCCTATAACTCCAAGGGATTCGATCGGAAAATTGATTTTCAGAATTTTTTGACGACTTTTAAGGTAATTTTTCAGCAACTTCCGACAATCAAAACTGTCGAATTTTGATACCGTCCGAAAGCCCACAATGTTCTCTTCATTTACCATCCGAATTTTGGGCACCATGGTGCGGGCCTTGTTGTATGATTCACCCACTCATAGATAAATTGGCAAAGCAATATGCTGGGAAGCTTAATTGCTACAAGGTTAACACAGATGAGAGCTCTTTAATTGCAACCAAGTATGGGATTCGAAGCATTCCAACTGTTATGATTTTCAAGAATGGAGAGAAGAAAGATGCTATCGTTGGTGCTGTTCCAGAATCAACGTTGACAACCTCCATAGAAAAGTTCTTGTAGTTTTGTAAGTACTTAAACATGTTTATATTCTTGAACATTGACCATACTCGTATATTATCCGTTACAATGTATTTCACCTTCTCTTTAGGGTCATCCTCGTTCTCTAAATTTCCATTATTGAGTAATTGGCTTATGTGGTTTTCTCTACGTTGTCTGAGTTGCATGTTTGTTTCTATTTTTTATTTTACACTTAGCTTCTGTTTGATTTTAGATTTTTAGAATATTTTGATAAAAAAAAATGAAATATGTGATTGAAAATTCGATAAAAGTCGTGATTCCAATTAAATGGGTGCTTAAAAATAAATTTGAGGAAAGCTGAGTATTTAGAAAATAGGGGCCAATCATGGCTTAGTAGAGTTTTATTCAAGCACCTAATCTATTGAGCTCAATTTGTATATATATCACGTAGAAATTAACGATACATCTAAGCACGATCAGCTCCACTTCATATGAAAGAAAAATGATTTTTTGGTCCAAAAAAAGGTTCAGCCAAACAAATGCAATCTCCTTGGGTCCATCCGTCCCATATAGGGGAGACTTGCTTTTATTTTCACACACATTAAGAATTTATAATTAATATAGTTGGAAATATAAATTTTATTTACGTTTTATCCTAATATACTTTAATATTATTTATAGTGAAGACTATCGGTAGTCATCTTATGTGGTATGTATATGACAATTTTTTTTATTTGATGTATTAATATGATAGAGTATGCTATGTAGGGTGACTGTCGATAATCTTTACCATGAATTTGTTTATCTTAAATTATATATCACTTTCTTTATTGATTTTTAGTTTTTTTTAATAAATTAATATGCCCTTATTTAATGCACTTGTTAACAACAAATATAAATTATTTTATGTATATATCAGAAAAAATTGTAAAATCAATTTGTTGATTTTGTTGATAATAAGACACATTAGCCCCCGTTGGGCTCCAATATCATGGAAATGAAAATGAGTGGAATGATGTTTTTTTTAAAACGAGTTATTGAAAAAGTAGAGATTTTTTCCAATTTACGTGTAATATTATTTTATGGAGGATTGTGTGGTTGAAAATAAGAAAGAGAAAAATAAAATGGAATATAATGGAAATTAATGAGAGCCAAACGGGAGCTAAATAGGGCATATTAGAAAATTAAAAATTAATTATACTCTCAGTAACATATAATTTGGGACAAAAAAGAAAGCAAATCTATCTTTATGGGATGGAGTGAATGTTGAATATGTGGATAATAAATTAATAGTAGTTATGAATATATGATAAAAATTAATGTTTGATTTTGTTTGAATTCATAGATAATTTATAAATTAGTTGCCAAATGGAGGGAAAAAACAAAAATAAAAAATCAAACATCAAAAGTGTGGAAAACGTAAATCGACGCTAGTTTTGACCGCATGAATTCCAAGACTCACAATATCTTATTTCAATTTGCATCCATATAGCATCATGCTCTTGTAAAAATCATACTTTTCCACACGTAAAATTGGACTTATAAGCTTCCAGAAGCAGCCAAATGGGTATTTGTAGACTGGATCAAACTTCTGTCACATAGTCTAGCCCCCTGTTTGCCATCTTTAAACAAATTAAATTATTTCTTACAATAACATTCTCTACCACACATTCACATAATAAAATATTTTACGCACAAATCAATAAAATTTCTTTAAATTTTAACCATACATTCTTCAAAAAATATTATTCATACCCTATTATTTTTTCATTAATGGGAGACAAATAAGCTCTTATTTATCTCATTATGGGTTCATTACAACTCTATTTCCAAATAGGATAGAATCTTTGGTGGGGCGGACGTATCGTCACGTCGAGGTGGCTGACCCTGAGTGGCGGTGTGACCGCCCTATTGAAGTTTCTCTCTTCAAATAGATTCCACAAGACGTGTCATTAATTTTATGACTATTGATTAAGCATTTGAAATTCTACTATAGATGCCTCCAAGCCAACTTGACGTGAAAATAGATAATGCTAGATGTAGCCCCCCAAGGCATAGTCTAGTGGTGCAAAGGATAGGAGTGAGCTTATCTCATGTCTTGCTGACAGCCGTAGTGTGGGGATTCGATTCTTGAGACATGGAATTAGACTCCGTGTAAACGTAGTGTACAGATAGCTCTTGTTCCTTGTTCTGTTGGGGTACATCCCGCGATTTACCTCCCTTACAAAGCTCTAGGAGCAGGGCGGTGGGGATCCTTAAGGTTGAGATTCAACTTTTTTTTTTCTTTTTTTTTTTTAGATAATGCTAGATGTAATCTAAGTTGGGGGAATTTGTGTATTGGTGAAAAAAGTGGGGGGAAAATCAAATGTATAGATGATGTCACTTGAAAATAATGTAAATCATAATGTAACCCTAAGTGTACTCGTAACGACTTTGAGCCGAACTGACCACATTATCGTCATGGAGTTACATGAGCAACTTTATCGTACAATTTGAACCATTAACCAAATGGTGTGCCCATTATGAATTGATGGGACACGATATATGAGAGTAACATTTCACTTCAAGAATCAGATTTTTTATAGATTTCGATAAAAAATTATGATATAAGTTATGAATCTTATGAAATATATGATCAAAAGTTATTGTTGACTTTAACTTAAATATTAATCATTTTTTTAAACGGGATTTTCGTCGTTCTTTTTCATTACAATCGTATCATATGAAATTACTTAAGAGGGATGAATAGAAAATACTTTGATCCATCATGTATAAGGGACAATTTTGAAAATGGCTGGTAGATTCTTCCTATTTTTCATAATAGCCTTTCTTATTAAAAGTACTATATTGCCCTTAATGAAATTATTTACAAGATCTATCTTATATCTTTAAGAAATTGTCAATCAGGTCCTATATTTATATTTTTCAATCTTTTGAATACTTTTAAATATTCTTTATATTTTAATAATTCTTCAAAAATTATAGGTTGACCTTTCTTGGTTATATATCCTTTAAATAATCCTTCTGAGATTTCTTCTTGTATATCCGTATGTTTAGTTATAATATCTTCTACTTTTCTTATTTCTCTATAAGTTTTCACAGAATCAAATCCTATATTATTCTTACAACTATAATCTATATCTCTATATATTTCTTCAATTTTTTCTTTACCAATAGGGAATATAACATCAGATTTTACATCTAATTTAAGCAGAAAAGAAACATCTTCTTCATCTAAAAATAAAATGAGATTTTTATCATTATTAACAGTAGAAGTTGATGCTTGTGAATTGCTCATCAAAGATAATTAAAGCATAAGCATGTAAAGATAAGTAAATAACTTACAGTAATCAAGTAGAAATGAACAGGTTTTCCCTCCAGTATATTCTTATAGATGCTTTGCATGTACTTAATCAATCTTCTGAATCAAGTAAAGATTTAAAATGTTTTTGAAATCATTTGGGTCCACAACTGCTTCCGCAAAAGGCTTTTCAATTAAGGTTGCATTTCTCATTCTAGAGAACTAGCCGTGTTTCCACAGACGCTATCTCACAGTATCCAGAGTCTCTGTTTTCACCTCTATCCAAACTCTTTTCAGAATCAAGTTCTTACTTGGAACGAAATTTTAAAAGACAACTCACACACAAAGTGCTACAATTTTTGTTAGAAAACTGTCTTTTTCCCCTAAACCATTCATCAAAGACGGGTACTTTAGCATGGCTAACATCCATTCAAAATCAATGTTTTGAAAATCTTTTAAAATCTCTATCTGTACTGCCGAGGAATCATAAGAAACTTAACGAAATCCTTTTATGAAAGCTTTGTTGAGCATAACAAACTTTACTTTGATATTCATAAACTGAAATTGTACATGCTTACAAACTATATTTACATATCTTTGGTACTCACCTTATGAAGTTTAAAACTCCATAAGTGATTACCTTATTACACGCTTTCCTATCTTCAAGCTATCTAATATTTTTCTGAATACAAGTAGTGTAATCAGATTACAAAAGATTTCTCTCAAATGTGTTTAAGAGAAGTTATTTCAAGGTATTTCGAGATGATCTCCTTCTTCCTTCATGCCTCCTTTTATAGAAGATTTTGGAATCTTATCTTGGACAGGTGTCTTCCTCTTTTCTTTGTTGGGTAGCTAGGCCATCTTATCTCCACCGAATTCTTCATTGTCTTCTTGTTGGGTGGACCACTTCTTTTGAAATTGGATGCCTTATCTTTTATCTTTGTCTGCCACTTGTGACCATTGGTAGGAAGTAGTCACAATTATAGAGACTCTTATTGCATTATCTTCTGTCTTCTAGTAGCCACAGTTTTTCTTTAATAAATTAAAGTAGTGATAAAGGGCTACTTTAGTCATCATCACTTCTCCATTTTTGAATCGAAGAATTCTGCAGGGAATTCTTCATCATTAAGGGATGCTTGACTCATATCTTCAACAACACAGTATTCACAATGGTGATCATTGTAATTTCAAAGTAATTTGCATAACTCTTTAGCCATATCTTCTGATCCATGTACTTGGTTGGATATGATTGCTGATAATAAATGGTCGAGATAACAAATATCTTCCTCTTTGGTGTCCATCCTTGCATTGGAATAGATAATATGATCTTCAGATGGATAAACCCATATTTTTTCTTTCTCAGTAATTATCTGAGTTACATGTTCAAATATTTCTTTATACCCTTTTGGTCGCCTGTAGGGCATCATATTTAAAATATCTTGATATCCATTTTTAACAACCTTTTGATTGGCTGGTAAAAAATGTTGATTTGTTAATCCCATTTTGATCACATGGAACGATGGATGCATATATTCAAGGATAGGATCCCATTCCATTGTTGCTGAATGGAATCTGATATATATATTTGTTGTTTTAACAACTTCAGTATATCTCTTGACAGCTTTCCTGATGTTGGCTGGAAGCTGAGCTATTTCCTTGAGATCTTTACTAGGATATATACAAAGTATATTTCCTATTTCAAAGCAATTTCGAACCCAATTAGCTGGTGCTCCTGGATAAAAGTTTATCT